GACAGCAACTACTTTAAAGAAAAAAAAAAATAAATAAAAGGGCAATACAGTGAATAGTCTTGAAGTTAAAACCACTTCTGAAACAGAAAACCTTCACCCTACAGAGGGGAATTCAACAAGACAGGGGCAATATATACTCAAAAATATGGGATAAACCTACCAGTCACTTGAAAACAACGTGAATTGCTGTGGTAAATGCTATTTCCAAATTATAACAAGAAAGTTAACTTTCTATTAACTTAAGCATGCTAGTCTGCAAAGTTCTTACGCGGTGCTAGTCAGATACGTTGCACTGCTCAAAGCATTAAATTATCCAAAATCTCTTCAAGTTTGTTGGTATTTTCTCTTGTTCTGGCTGGAGAGCTGTTCTAGACCGGGGCAGCAGGACTCATCCAAGGTACCAGAGTCCGTGCCCTCTCCCGGGGCTGGGAAGTTAAACTCACAGCCGCTTCCACACACCCTCTCTCCCTGGCCCTGGTGTCTGCTCTCCCTCTCCCATGGGATGGCATTTCCAACACCTTGAATGTGGAGCAGTTACTTACTGCAGAACCATCCTGGAGCAGGCCAGCCCGCAGTCCCAGTGGTAGAGCTGCTGGATGACTGGCACTTTGAGCTGCACGCAGTCTACTGCAATGAAAACAACACTTAGTAAAACAGGAAAAATGCTTCTCTGTATATATATGTTTTTCCATACCTCGGCATTAAAAAACAACTTGCTCTTCTACAGGTACACTCAGCACTACAGTGGTAGAAATCTATGAAGGTTTTTTGGTTGCATTTCACCTGATTGGTGGGTCCTTTTTGCTAGGAAGATGTAGATTTGTTTCATATTCCTGTAGAGTTAAATTAACCATCAAGTGTCTGGTGTAATCTTGTATTATTGTTACATCCCTGTGCAGTGTTTTACACTTTTTGGTGGTGGTGACATAATCCACACACCCTAGGTCCAAAATTGCAGGTAGCTCCTAACTGGTAGCAGATAAGGCACAGCTCTAATGTGTCCAAAGTGGTTTCTAAATGTACTTCTGTGCCACAAAAAGAATTAAGATGCAACAAAAGTCCCCAGGCTTCCATCTCTCGCAAGCCCCATAGAGCTGAGCCTCTCCTACAGATGTGTCTTTTTTTCCTCCGTGATTGTAATTGATTAGCAATTCTAAGTCACTGAAGCTGACAAATGACAATATTTGGCCCTTTTAAATTATACTCTCAATATTTTAGCAACGGGAAGTACGTAATTCCATCCTTCCTGTGTATTTTTTCCAGGCCCAGGGCGCTTGTGGTGGTCTCCCTCTCGGAAGATCCCTCATCACTTGGACAACTTTATTTTCCACAGGCCTTGTTGCTGCTTCAGCCTGAATCAGAGCCAGCCTCAGGGACGTGGCTCAGCAGCTCGGTGGTGACAGGATTACGGTAGGAATTCATCACCTTAAAGGTCTTTTCCAACCATCGTGATTGTATTTCCCAAGTCTTAGCAGGCTCTTCAATCCCTTCACTTTTGACTAGAGAAGGCCTTTGGAAGTTGCTAATGCAACCTCAGGAGCCCCTCAACGCGGCGATGAAAACACGTTCAGCACCGCGGGCTGCTCTCGCTCCGGTAGAATTTTATTTGCGGAACTTCCCAAGCCGGGCCCTTCCCCGCACTAACGTTATGTTACTGCCTAACCAGACGGGAGGCCCAGGAGGCACAAGTCCCTGTGGAGACCCGGGGCTCCTCCCGGGTTGCTAATGCAACCTCAGGAGCCCCTCAACGCGGCGATGAAAACACGTTCAGCACCGCGGGCTGCTCTCGCTCCGGTAGAATTTTATTTGCGGAACTTCCCAAGCCGGGCCCTTCCCCGCACTAACGTTATGTTACTGCCTAACCAGACGGGAGGCCCAGGAGGCACAAGTCCCTGTGGAGACCCGGGGCTCCTCCCGGGCGTCTTCTGGGCCCTTGTGCCGCTCCGCCCCGTGTGTGCGGCCCGCGGCTCCCCCGGGTCTCCCTTCCCGCTCCCGGCCCCATCGGGATCCCCGCGGCGGCGGCGGCCGCACTGACCTGGCGGCGGCTCCGCGGCCTCGCGCGGGCTCTTCATGGCGCGGCGGCCG